GCTGCCCCCTAACCCTGCCTGGGGCAGCGGGGTGCACAGAGGGGACAGGTGCTGGGTGACACGGGGATCTTGTTCTTCCACCCTCCTTGGCAGCCAAAGTCCATCAGTTCTTCCCCAGTTTCCTGAGGGATGCATCCTCTCTCTCTGCTGAAACCACAGTGCCATGGGCTTGTGCGAGACTCTTTGCCGGGACGAGGCGTTGGCTCTGGGATGCGACCAGGGTGGGCACAGCTACAAACGACCTCCTCTTCCCCTCTGGAAAGGCAGAGCGGAGAGTGAGGGGGAGATGGAGCAGGGTGGTGGTGGGTCCCTCGTGTCTAGGGAGCAGGGACATGTGGCAGTGCAGGTGCCTGACCCCAGAAAGCGCTGGCTGCATGCAGGGAAGGCAGGTTTGTACCACGTCTGCACTGGGGCAGTGCCAGGCTAATTAAAGGGGTGGCAGAGTCAACTCATGGGTGGACCCAGGGAGCCAGACAGCAAATGCATCTCTGGCCACAGGGACAGGCTGAGCTCACCGGTGTGGCTCAGGATTATGTGGGATCCATGGTGCTTTTGGATTCAGACATCCAGAGACCCCAAAATTCAGGTCTGCACCTGCCATCAGCTGTTCTCCAGGCACAGTTTCAGAACATGGTTTATCTGTCCCTGACACACAGTCAGGTCATGGCTGGGGAGGGATCATGGGGTGCCCTCAGGTAATTGGGGGTCCCATGGCTCATGTTGGCTGGCATTTCCCTTTCTCAGTCAAACCTGTTGCCCAAGGTGCTGCTTCATCGAGGTGCTCACTCACCGCCGGGGATGCTGCTGGCAGGGCTGGGCAGGGACCCGCCTCTGGGTCTCCAGCCTGCAGTAGCGGTTCTGGTTGGAGATGCGGGTGGAGAAGCCCAGGCCGCAGGTGGCTGAGCAGGCGCTCCACTCCGTGCCCCACTCCTGGCAGGGGTACGGCAGCAGTGGGGATGCTGCCCCGGGGGCTGGATGGAAAGAGAGGAAGGGAAAAGGGTGGTTGGAGCCAGGCGTTGTGCAACATGCCCTGCGTGCGCTGCGGGCACAGCCCTGCATGGGGGGAAGTGTGCAACGGGGTGTCTCCTGTTGATGTTCGTGATCGGAGGTGAAGGGACATCCCCAGAGACCTGTGTGGGCATCCCCGCACTGACATGTTCTGCTTCTTACCTGCCCCAGCATCCCGGAGGAGGTGCCGGTCCGGGGCCTCGCAGATCCACTCAGGGCAGCACTTCCCGGGGACCTCCACGCGCCGTGGGTAGGGGCAGTCCGGGGTGGGCAGCCGGACGTCCTCCTGGCAGAGTGGGACGCAAGTGAAGCCCCCATCCAGGCAGCGGCACTGGAGTTTGCAGCTGGGCTGGAAAACCTCCCCGTCTCGATAGACCCGACCGTTCACCTCGCAGCCCTCCTCACCGTCTTCAACTGCAAGCAACGGGGAGCCCGTTAGGGACAAAGACACAGAGACATGTGGATGGCAGAGGGATCGTCTGGGGGAACTGTGGGGCTGGCATGAGGGGACTGAACTGGGGGTCTACCAAAGTGACGGGGAGGCGTGTGGGGCAGACATGGGTTTGCAGCAGTATCTGCATCACCCAACCTCTTCCCTTTCCTGCCTCCTCTCCTCATCTCTCTGTTTTCCAAAGCAGCAGCTCACCAATTAGCGAGAAACCCACTGCCCTTTGGTTCTGACCCTGCCTTTCAGGGTTTTCAGGCTAGAAAAGGTTTTTCTGAAGTTTCTCTGAGGGACCCCCAGGGTCCAGCCCCACCAGGGTGACTGCAGCATTCCTGGGATCCCCGCTCAACCAACCACAAAACCCCAGCAGCAGATGGCACAAGAGCAGGCTGGAGGTGCAGCACAAGCCGCGTGCATCAGCTGCCATAAAGCTGCTTTCGGAGCCTTAACCTCTTCCCTGAAAGCGGCGAGGGACGTCTGGTGCTGGCCAGGGCCCTGGCCAGAGCTGGGGTGTGTGTCGGGCTGGGGACATGCGGGCATCCCTGGGGGAGCAGGCACCCCTGTGCTCACAGTTGCAGGTGGCTCCTGTCCCTGAGGGTGCTGTGCTGTAGTCGCAGACGAGGCCTTGGCTCTGGTCGCAGACGTGGAGGAAGTCACAGGGCTCTCCCAGGCGCCGGGCGCAGATCTTGCAGCAGCCGCAGCCGTCCAGGACCAGGGGGGACCCGCGGGGACAGCGGGGTGGCACCCAGGGGCAGTAGCACGGTCTCCGGCACATCTGGGCACACACCTGCGGAGTCAAAGCCATCCCTGGTTCGATACAGGTCAGTTTTTGGCTGCTCTTTCACTGGGACAGTCAGGTAATCCTCTCTCAATCATGGGGGCAGATTTTTGGTGGAGGGAGACTCTGTGAATCCAGGGGAATATAGCAAAACAGCCTGGAAAGCTACAGTCCTCTGAAGGCACAGCATGATAGGCACCTATGGAAAACCAGGGGCAATTGGGGATGCTCAGCATTCTGCAGGGTGGGGACTTAAACGCACCACTGCTCTGGATGCACAGGAGGAGGATGGAGCTACAAAGCCAACATCCCATGTAGTGATGGTCAGTTATCGGGCTGGCAGCCCCGGAGGCAGCCCCACGCTGCCCTAAGCAGCCAGGTATGAGGAAGGGAAAGCAGCCCGAGGCAGCAGGTCGTGCCCAGACGGAGATGGGGCTTTGCAGGGGCTGATTGCATATGGTGAGGGCACTGCACCTCGCTCCCAACAGTCGTAACAGCTCTCATTCATGCAAAGGAACAGGGCATCGCATTGGCAGTGGGGGAACCGAAGCCAAGTGAACCTCACTGCTTTCCTTCCTGCTCCAGCTGCCTCCCCTGGGCACAGCATCCCCTGCCTGTCCCTGGGCGCAGCATCCCCAGCCCAGCTCGCTAGGCAAGGAGCCCTGACACAGACACGTTTTCGAGGAGTGAGAGCTACCTTTCCCCTCCCAGCTAGACTAAGCGACTACTTGGGCAGGGCTGTGCATCACAGTTGTTCGCCTGCTCAGCCGCTTGTTTGCCAGGGCTGTGCCCGCAGCGTTCACCCGGGCAGTCGGTGTTTATATCCACAGCTCCCTCTTCTTGCACAATTACCCTGGCACAAACAGCTTTTGCGGGCAGCGCTCGTGCTCCTGTCACATCCTATCTGACAGGGCTGTTGCCTATGGGGCCTGAAGCCAAGTGATTTGGCTCTGCGGTTTGGAAGTGAATTCCTTGCCAGGACTGTGTGAGCTCGTGTGAGCCCCATGCAGCCGCTCCGAGCCGCTCGCCGGCAGCCCTGCTGCTCCGCTTGCCGCACAGCCGGCACGTGCAACACGGGCAGCACTTCAACAAATGTGCAGCCAAAACCTTCAGCCCTGAGCTGGTCCAGGTGTCTCTGCTGAGACTGCTGAGAGATTGATGGGTTCAGCTGGACTATATGGTTTTTAAGATACCATTTTTCTTTCTCTTTTAGTTTTACCCAGTAGCATCAGGTCTGACACGACTGGTTAGACAGAGAAGCTGGGCACTGGCGTGCTGTCTGTTCCCTTTTTGTGGCGGTTTGGATGGGGTTTTTTTATGAGGCTGTAGAAATGCCAGTGCCGGGAACAGGAGACAAAATATATCCGAAAAGGGCTGGACAATCTGGGTCTTGTTCTGGTTTTATCAATGAGCAGCATTATTAGCGTGGCAGAAACCAGTGAGACTCGCAGCAGGGACTGAAGGGCTGGCTGTGGTGCCCAGGTTTGGGCTGAAGGCATGAGGGCCCTCGGTGATTCTCCAGACACTCATGAGTGCCTGGGGCAGGAGCCATTTCTCCATCACAGCTTACCCAGGCAGCCAAGGGCATTTTTCATCTTTTGGGAGGTTGCTATTACAGATCAATGTTTTAGAAAGATTAGCCAAGCCAACTCCATTAATCCATTTCCCCCTGCTCCTGGTAATTAACTTGACTTTAAATGACAATGTGGCTCCTATCAGAGATCTTAACTGTCTGGGAGAGGAGTCAAACAGGCACGGGGCTGTCATGATGTCCCTGTTTGCAGAAGGTCTGCCTTGGCATTCAAGCAACAATTAGAAGAACTTGGAGCTGAAATACCCCAAACTTTTCAACTTTCCCTCTCTCTGCACAGGCAACTATTTTCACACAGAGCCCAAGAGAAAAAAAAAAACCCCACACCAAAATCACTACAACAACCCAAATTCTGTTGGAGGCATTGGCTTTGCATGAGCATCCCAGGGAGGGGGGGAGAGCTGAGTAATGCCGTGGCTGGTGCTCGTTGCTTGGCCTCCTGCCTCAGGAGCCGGGGCAGGGACCAAGGAGTCTGCAGGAGCCGCTACTGCCGAGCTGCCGCTCGCTCGCTCGCTGTCGGGGCCGCGTAGCACAGCCCCGAGCGCCGCGGGACCGGCGAACAAACAGCGCATTGCTGTCATTCCTGCGTGCTCTGTGGACTTGCACAGCGAGACGCGTTTGGCCCATGGATTTTAAGACCCTGCTGCTTAATTGCAAAAGTCTCTCCCAAGCGTAGCTCTGCGCCCGTGGGGCTGCAGAATACAGCCCGTCTGCCAGCGGGTTCTGAGCAGGGACGTTGCGACACCCCAGTTCTCACTTTGCAAGAACCGTCTGCTTCCCTGAGTAAGGCTCAAGCCACCCCAGGGCCCCGTCTCCCTTACCTTGGAGAGGATGCAGAGGAGGGAGAGGAAGAGGAGCTGCTTCTCCAGATGGAGCCTCATGCTGCTCCCCTCCGCCACTTCAGCACATCACCCCCCAGGCAGTTTGGAGGCAGCGGCGTGTTCGCAGCCCCGAGTAGGTCCTGCTGGTGTTTATACTCTCCCTGCTCTGATGTCACTCACGGGCTCCAATATAAACATGAGTAGGTTTGGACAAGCCTCAAGATTTTCTTTTTTTTTTTCTTTCTTTTTTCTTCCAGCCCACATTCCAGCTGCCATTTCCACTCCCCTCAAGGTGAGAATGTGCTGCCTGCCGAGACAGCGAGCCAAGGGAAGGGATGCTGTCCCGGGGGAGCACAGGAGAGGGACTGGGAAGCCAGGCTGGTGGGGTGAACCAGCTACAAGCTGCGACCGGGAGGGAAGGTCCGTGCCTCTTCTTGCTGACCAAGGTCCGTCCGGCTCCAGCCCGTGCCTTCCTCCAGGGTTTGCAAGAGTTTGGCAGGGCTGTCCTTCTGCCACCCCAGACACTGCCACGAGCGGGCAGGAACAGGGCACCCACCCCTATATTTTACGCTGGGCGCAGTGCATGGCAGGCTGTGGGAGTGGAGCCAGCTGCCCACACAGCAGAGACCCCTGAAGGCAAGGGCAGGATCCTGCCCCTCCAGCGCTGGGGACAGTGTGTGACCCGGCTGTGACTGCCCGCAGCGCAGTAGAGATGAGCTTCTCCCTCTGTTTCTCTGGCATGGCAGGAGCTGGGAAGGGATTTTCTGTGGTGGTTGTGCTGTCACAGCATCCCCGTCCTGCGTGGGGCTGCGCCTGCCCAGGGAGGCTGCTGGGGCAGCGGGTTTGGGTGCACATCGTGTTGCATTGCCCTGGGTAGGTGACGCAGAGAAGGCTGCAGTCTAGCCCTGCTGATTTTAAGCCTTGTAAACCCAAATTCAGCTCCTGAAACATTGTGACCATCTTAAGTGATCATGAGAATTTAAAATCCGAATTTGGAGAAGGGAAGCCGGTGCTCAGCAGTTGCCTCCCAATGCTTTATCACATCTCAGTCTGCCCCGTGCGAGCTTTCCTCTCAGCCGCTGTGTCCAGGGACGCGAGGCTGGCTCTTAGGAAAGGAAAAACCAAACATCTCAAGACCTTCAGGAAACTGAGTCCCTTCTCCACATTCCCATCCCCCAGATCTTATCACAAGATGCTAGAGGAGGAGTTTATGAGTCCAGAGCTTGAAGGAAAGGCCTGAGCTCACATAAGGATGTGGGATGCTGTGCAGCTCTCCCCGGCTCCTCTCCTGCACTCCCTTGCCTGCAGGACATGGTCTGGGAGTGCTGCTCCTGCCCTGGCCCAAGGGACCGATCCTGGGGACTGTGCACAGTCTCTCTGTGCCTTGCAGGCATGATGACAAGTGCTGCTGTATATCATATATTGTGATACATATCGGCAAACACACAGGAGGGACGGGGTGCCGTGTAAGCAGAGCACTGAAATAACTAGGAGTGATACCCCATCCCTCCTCCATCCTTTTTTCCCTTCCTTTTGCTTTTGTTTTTGCAAAACAGGTCCTCAGGCACCTGAGCAGCGATGCCGACCTCAGCTCTGCCACAGCCTGGGAGCCAGGGCACGGAGCAGGGAGCGCAGAGCCCGGCAGGGAGGAGTGTGCGGTCAGCTCTCCTATTACCACCCCAATGCTCTGCTTTGGTTTCGCTTCGTTAGCTGCAATCAGTCTGTTAACGAGGTCATGGCAGCTTGTGGAAATATCAGGCCACCTTCCAAAGGCTGCTGTCACTTATCCCAGCGCTGGAATCTCTATCCTCATGTTGGAGCCCCAGCTCCCTGCGACACCCAAGCCCTGCCCAGAGGCATCCCTGCCCATCGCGGGGAGGTGTGAGGACCACACATTGCTCCATCCCTGCTAGCAGGTGGGTTCTGGCCCCACGGACAGGTGCTCGCAACCCAGAAGGTTTGATGCCAAAGGCTGGAGGCACATCTCATGCTGCCGTCTTCTCCTCTGCTCCCAGAGCTGATGCCATCCTGAGGTCCCCACATTCCAGACGTGCCGGAGGTGGCTGTGGTGCCTCTGTCAGCAATGGCTCGGGTGCAGCCAAAGCGTCAATTCAGCCTGGCTGCAGGGGGCCGGCGAGCTCTATTCATTATTCCAGGCTTCTGTTTATGAGGGACTCCTGATTAATGGCCATGACTTCATTTCCCGGTTAGAAATCAGGTGACAGTGCTGGTAAAGGGAATAAAAACCTCTCATCGCACTCGGTGAGCAGCTCTGGGAGCTGCCAACAGCCCCGTGCATGCCTCAGTTAACCCCCCACCATCTGTCCTCTCCCAGGTACAGGTGTGGCTCTTTGGGCTGGAGACCCCTTCTTTTACCCTCTCCCTCAGCTCGGAACATTGCCTGGGACATCGCTTCCCCCACACACACGTGCTGTCACTGACGTCTCACTGCAGTAAGGTGACATCGCCATGAGGGTATGACATCATCAGGAAGCCAGCAGAGCTCAGGCAGTGACAGAACCAAGCAGCCAAACAGGGACCAAATCCACCGCCCTGCACCCAGCCAGCTGCCCCCACTTCAGACGGCATCAGCAAGCCCTGGCAGTACCTCGCTGTGTTTTGGGGGTGCCCAGAGGAGCTGGCTGGAGAGATACCCACAAAGTCCACCATGACTCTGCCTTCCCAAGGGGGCTTTTCCATGGGTGACCTGGGCTTGAGCTTCCCTTCTCCCAGCTCTCTGGGTCCCACGTGCCCACCCAAGTCGCCACGCCGGAGCCTGGCAAAGCGACACGCCCCGGCGCAGGTTTTGATTTGCAAAGCCACGCGAGAGCAGCACATGAGCAGCTCATTTTATAAACACCCAGTTATAACCCTTCCCCTCTGGAGCACGTACCCCATATGTGTTCTGTACCATACGTGTGATTTCAGAGCAAGTAATTAAGTCCATATGTTGTGCTTCGCAGTTTCCATGGTATTATTGTCAGGATTTTTGGGGGTTGTCTTTTTTTTTTTTTTTGTGGTCAGTTGTGCAAGAAAATAGTTGATACAGGGATCTGAATACATCTCCTTTGAGTTAGCCGCTGGCAAGCTCTTCTGTTTCTATAGAAATGAAGGAATTGACCCAGTGAATTTACATTTTAGACAGCTGTTTTTTTCATGTCTGTACTATTTAACATGCCATTGTGAATAGCACTGCAAAGCTCTCATTTGTACACCCTGCTCAGCGGAAATTGCATCCGTCTGTGATGGATATAGACCATATTCTCCCTCCATCCCTTTCCTTTGCTCGAGACTCTCCCCTTCTTTACTCGATGCCGTGTTGAACATCCTCCCTAGAGTTGGCTGAAGTCGGACCGGGGCCTGGATGTTCATCTCTGCCTGGGAGAACCTAGGCTATCCTGCATCCTTGCTGGCTTTATTCCTCTTCATATCAACAGTGAAATCATGGGTCTAGGGTGAGCCCAGCTCCATGCCTTGGTGGAGAGGACATTCCCTTTGCTTCTGGGCACTCCTGTCTCAAATCCCTGCTGCAGGGGAGCAGGGTTGTCCATGGAGAGTGGACAGCACGGGTGGAAAAGCCACAAAGGCATCCAGCTAGGAAAAGCCAAGAGCCCTGAGATGAAAAGGAGACACCTCCGGTCTCCCTCAGCTGTTGGAGACTTTGGGGTGGCTGCTGGCTGTTTTTCACAAGACTTCTGGAAACACCCCGGCTTTGGGAAACTTTGAAATACCTTTGCCTTTGGCAGGATGGGAAAGTTGTTTCCTACCCAGAATGAATCCAGCTCCAGTTTCAAGCAGCAAGAGCCGAGAGAGGTGGTGATGGCCACTTCCATCCCTGTCTGGCCATTTTTATTCCCTCTGGTTCTCGCACCTTAACTGGAGAGCAGAGCCTGGCTGGGAGGACTGGCCACCTCGAGGGACGAGGGACGGGCCAGGCAATCTTTTACCTTGAGGTCACTGCTTCCACCCCAGACCCGGGCTAGGAGAGACTGAAAGTATTTACCATCTGGGACCTGTCCAAGTGACTTGCAAGAAAAGAATTCAGGGCTGTCGTCCAGTTTCTGATGGTCAGGCAACTACATCAGAAAACCTCGGCTTCATCTGGGACCAACTGACCCCTCCAAGTTCCCAGCCGCCGTGGCGAGGCCAGCGAGGGAGCAAGTCACAGCCAGGCATTGCCCTCTCCCAAGGAAAAAGGGTCTTTTGGATGGGGAGCAGTGCGTAGTCAGGGGGGACACTTGATCCTTCACCATTTTCCAGGCATTTTTAAGTGGGTTTCATTAGAGAGAAGCACTGATAAATGGGACTCGGTGCTGGTTCTGGTCCCAAGTCTGGTACTGCCAGGAGGAAGGAGCTGAATGATTACATGGGGAGCAAACGGACTGTCACAACCTTGCTGAGCCAAAACTATAGTGAGATATCATCATTCAGACCGAGGGGCTTCTCGTTTCGACAGCTCAGCCTTGTACCAGCTGTAGTGAAAGGACAACACTTCTTAACAGCCATATCAAACCCGTAATTCTGTGTGATTTTTTTTTTCCCCCGCAATCCAGACGAGAGCAATTCATAATTGTCCCCCTAAGTTAAACATTCAGATATCCCAAAGAATAAGACTGTTGTAAAACAAAGCCTGGAAACTTCAGCCAGATGAGTCTTTCCCTTATTATTTGGAAAACAGTGTCAGAAGTCATCATGTATCAAACATGATCCTCTAAGAGTATTTTTGGTATCAAACATCATCAAGCATAAACTACTTCTAAAAAATCTCACTAGAAGTTTTGTCTTTCAGACAAGATATGAACCCCAGATCCTGACCTTGTGTGGTTACTGACAGGCCCTTGGTATTTTCCATGGAGCTGCATGGCTAACTCATGTTTCCTGATCAAATTGCTCATTCTTTTTGACTATCTCTGTTTTTCTTGTGGTTTCAGTTTAAAATAGACTGTGTTTTTCCTTCAGTTCTCATCTTGAGTGTGCTATGTGTTCTCAAGCAGCTGCCATGTCCCTTGCAGCATCAAATATGCTGCAAATTGAGTCGTGCACTAAGCTAAACTCAATTA